CGAGCCAGAGGGGAGGGGGCGGCGGGTTTTCATGTGCCCAGCATGAGCTCCTACTTCGTCAACCCCCTGTTCTCCAAATACAAAGGCGGCGAGTCCCTGGAACCGGCCTATTACGACTGCCGGTTCCCCCAGAGCGTGGGCAGGAGCCATGCGCTGGTGTATGGGCCGGGCGGCTCGGCGCCCGGCTTCCAGCATGCCTCGCACCACGTCCAAGACTTCTTCCACCACGGCACCTCGGGCATCTCCAACTCGGGCTACCAGCAGAACCCGTGCTCGCTGAGCTGCCACGGAGACGCCTCCAAATTCTATGGCTACGAGGCGCTCCCTAGACAGTCCCTTTATGGGGCTCAGCAAGAGGCGAGCGTGGTGCAATATCCCGACTGTAAATCCTCCGCCAACACTAACAGTAGCGAAGGACAAGGCCACTTAAATCAAAACTCGTCTCCCAGCCTCATGTTTCCATGGATGAGACCCCACGGTGAGAAGTCTTTTCTCTTTCCCCCTTGGTCTCCCGCGCTCCGGGGTCTTCCCCCCCTCCCTTGCCTCCTTTTTGTCTGCCCTGGCTTTCTCTCCTGGCTTTGGGGTCTCCCCAGCCCCACCTCCATGCCTGAGTGGGTTCCTTGAGATTGGGAGGTTCAGCTGGGGGTGGGGCGGGGGCTCGCCTTGGATATTTTGGGGACTGGGGTGAAGGTGGGGGGAAAGGTGGTGTCTGGGTGCAGAGGGTTAAAAATCGTTTTCTCCACCTCTGTCTGTCTGTCTCTCTGTCTCTCTCTGTTGCCATCTCTAAAGTCAAAGTTGTGGAGGTGGCTGGCAAGGGGGCTGAAGACCCTGAGCTTATCAGCCTTTGGAGCAAACCAGTGTCTCCACAGGCACAGAGCCTCAATCCAGGACAGTGGCCAGGCTGTCTTGGGGTGAAGGGAGACCCTGTTTCCCTTCCCTAGCTAGGTCAGAGGGTGGTGAGACCCCAAGAACAGGTACTCTGGCTCTCTGGGGGCACCCAGTGCCTCGTCTCAGAGAACTCGTCTTAAGGCTACTACCCCAACTTTGCTGTACCTTCCTCAGTTGGAGAGAAGAGAGGGAGTCAGAGAGGAGAAAAAAAGAGTGCTGGAAAAGAGGCCATGCAGATTAGAGGGCTTTGAGGTCCTAGGAACCTTAGCCAAGCTGCCCCAATCAAAGGCTTGTGGGGTCTCCTGGAGACCCTCAGAGTGGCTCAGGTCATGAGCCCCTCAAAGGGTGGCCCCTCGTGGCCCAATTTCGAAGTAAAAGGGGAAGCGAGAAGCGACAAGTTCCAGCGGGGATGGCCCGTGATTTATTTGCTGGTCTCCAGTTAGCAATCAGGCCAAGCAGTGATACATTCCAGGAGATCAATTATTTTTCTTCCTGGCAAAGCATTAGGCAGAGAGATTCGAGGAGGGGCAGTGAGCAAAGCCCCTCTTCTTTAACCCTGAGATCTTTTCCTGTCTTTTGGAAACAGACTGTCTTCAGCCCTGCTCACCAAATGCCACTCTGCACTTGTAAACAAAGCTGCAAGGGTCAGTTTCCTGGGACTGCAGGCCCCGGGGGGGACTCTGCAGTGCTCCCCTGGCCTCTGCCATCCCCTGGTTTTCAGACAGACCCCAGTCCCTGCCCCCACCCCCACCCCACCTCCCAAGGTGAAGCCAAAGCAAAACAAGCTCACAAACTTTCCTGCCCTTGCCTGCTTTCTGCTCTCGCCTTTTCTGCAGAAGGGAGGAGAACTGGGGAGATTTGAGGGGGGACTTTAGGGGAAGAAGAGTGGCAGAGGAAAGCTGAGCCCCCACCCAAACATAACGAGACTGGGGTTCTGTTCTGTCTAGCTCCGGGGCGGCGCAGCGGAAGGCAAACTTACAGCCGGTATCAGACCTTGGAACTAGAAAAGGAGTTTCTCTTTAATCCTTATTTGACACGAAAGCGCCGAATTGAAGTCTCTCACGCCCTGGGACTGACTGAGAGACAAGTGAAGATCTGGTTCCAGAACCGAAGGATGAAGTGGAAAAAGGAGAACAACAAGGATAAACTGCCTGGAGCCCGAGATGAGGAGAAGGTGGAGGAAGAAGGAAACGAGGAAGAGGAGAAAGAAGAGGAGGAAAAGGAAGAAAACAAGGACTAAGCAAAAAAGAGAGATTCCCCCCACCCCTTTAGCAACTCCCTTGAAGTTTCGTTTTATGGTAGCGGATAAATTGAGAAGTTTACGACTGTCATTTGCTTTTATAGAGAATAGAATGACACTCACAACTCTAACTACCTGTCAGATACTTGCAGCTCTGGTTTTATTACCTTTGGACTTCCCCCGATCTTTATTTGTTCGGGGGCTAGAGGGGGGAGACCGAGACACAGCGAAAAGTTCGGAGTCTCTGTCTCAGTCGTTGCCCTGACACACACACTTATCCCTACCCCCACCCTTCGGAGTTCTGCCTGGATTTTAAGGTCTGAGACCTGGCCTCTTTGCCCCCTCTCTCTGCCCCTTCTTGTCACATTCCCACCTCCCTGCTTCTCTGGTATTTATTTTAGAGGGAAGCCCCTCAAAATGTGGAAAAAGACTCATGGTTTTGTTTTTATGCTATGATTAGTATTAGATTTACTTCTTTTCAAAGGATAGGAAAGAAAAAGTGAAGGAAGGAAGGAAGGAAGGGAGGAAGGGAGAAAGGGAGGAAGGGAGGAAGGGAGGGAGGGAAAGGGGAATTGTTTAAAGAAATAAAAAAATGATAGCAAGAAATATCCCCTCTCCCTCTCTGGGGCTCCCTGCTTAGAAAGACCCCTTGACTTTTCTCTAGGAACCTGATGGAAATCTGAAGATGTGGGTCTCTGCCGCAACCCGCCTTCCAGGGGGTAAATAGGAGCCTGCAATCACCTCTGAAGTCCTACCTAGTCATCCCATGGTCACTTGGGCCCATGCCTTCTTCCCCTTCGCTGTCTGATTTCTGTTGTTGGGCCCAGCTTTCTCTGAGCTGCATTAGTGTTAGCGCTCAGAAATCACCATAATCATTAAAATAATAATATTAATAATAAAATTTTAACATACTACCTAAAGGGAACCTGCAATAATCTTGAAAAATAAAAAAGAGAAATTTAAAAAAATCCTAATATGGGAGAAAAAAAGAGAAAAATTTTAAAATTAAAAAAAAAAAGAAAGAAACCTCCAGCGTATTTTATCACTACCTATAGAAAGGAATCCTGCTTTGAGTATTCGTAATGCGGTTTTGTTGTCGTTTGTTGCTGCTTATTTCACTAAGAAAAACCCAACAACTGAGACTGCCTAGCTCGCCGGTCCTGTGCGCTTTTATTGTGCTTCTAACCCCAGTAGAGTAGAACTAAATTGCACTGAATGTATAGTTAACTCTGTCTTGAATTCTGTTTATGCAATGTGCTCGAAAGAAAAAAAAACGTTAAAATATATCTATAATGATAATTTTGGTCATTTGTCTTTATGTCCAGCTATGAATGTAGATTTTGTGTCCCGGCAGCCCTGTTTCTGGTCCAAGTACTTTGTATTGTATACGTGAGTCATAATAAAAAAAAAAAAAAAGGAGAAAAAATAAATGAAGCTGGAATGACTTGTTTTTTCTCCAGTGCCACCCCCCACCTTAACATTCTCTACCCTCTCTCTACCTCCTTTATCCTTCTCTCTCAACACTCTGGAAAAGGTCTCCTCTACTGATCTTACTTTGAGATGGGGGAAACTCAGTGTGGAGTTGAAAGATCAGGCTGGGCTGGGAGGGCAGGTGAAAGAGGGAGGTGAGGAGGAAGAGGAAGAAGAGCAGTATGCTCTTGGGAGAAACTTGACTCCAAGTAAAGTGAGTTTCTGGATGCCAGGATCCCAGTGGGGAGAAAGTATCTCCCCACATATCCACCATCCTCCTCCCCAGCCCTGAGCTGGGCCCAGACAAAGAATCTGCCCCCATACGCCTCCCACAGCTAGGCCTTTTTCTTCCAGGGGTTGAGGCTGAGGATAAGGCAATGGGATTCTTTCTGATCTCCCCATGGCCCTCATGACCAGTCTTGGGTACCCAGCACCCAGCACTAGAACAGTGAACTAGGTGGGAAGAATATGAGGCTCAAGACAGCCTGGAGGACTTGGGTGGATAATGCCTAAGGGGTTGGGGGCGGTGAAGAAGCTTAAGCCTGGGAAAAGGAGAGAAGGAGAAAGTGAGTGAGCTGGTACCCCATAAGGACTGGGTCCACATTCTGAAATTCAAATTCAGCCAGCACAGAGCCATCACTGTCACTCAGCCCACCAGCATCTACTCCTCTGTCTGGCTATTTTAAGCCTGCAGCTTTACCTTGGCAATTGGGCAACCTGCCCTGCCCACATAGTGGGGGCCATTGGCCTGGGAGGGGGAACGGGCCTGCTGAGTGGACAGTCCCCTCACCCCAGCCACAGCAGGGTAAGGAGAGTCCTCATTGGACTCCTTATTCCCCAAAATAAAGGGTCAAAGGCTAAGGGACTCAGGGGGCAAAGGGGTCTCTCACTCCTCCCTGGAGGGTTTTAGATGGAGAAATCTGTTTATGCCAGTAAAATTCTGGTCAAATAATACCAAATTCCAGAGATGCAAGTCATCTGACTCAGAAAGGAGTAGGGGAAAGGGGAGGGGATGGGATCTTCTGGTCTTAAAAACCAGATCCCCAAAGACTGAAATATTTTTGAGGCCAGATCTCTCTCTCTCTCTCTCTCTCTCTCTCTCTCTCTCTCTCTCTCTCTCTCTCTTCCCCCCCTTCCCTCCCCCAATCATTTCCCCAGACTTAGGCCCCAGGCCGACACTCTCCGCCGCCCCCCCCCCAATCTGGGTCCCTGGCTCCGACGCAAAGTGGTTCTGAAAACAGGATTGGGTCAGGCATCGTGGATAGGGGACTGCTGTAGCCCAAGAGGCTGCCGATTGGAAGCACAGGCTGGGGGCAGCTGAGAACAGTTTTGAGCAGCTCTGGAGAAAATCTTTCGGAATCTGGGGTCCCTATCGAGGGCCGAAGTGCCAGCCAGGTAACCCCGTTTGCTGCGGGAGATACAGGCTACCCGGCTGTGAGGCCCGAAAAGAGAGCATTTTGCTCGGACCTCAGGCCTTCCCAGAGGCGGCCCCTCCGAGGGCTGGCAGAGGGGCCGTTTCATTTTTAAAATGTGTAATTGTGATTTCTATTAATAAAAATCGCTGGCCTAGTAGCCGAGTGGGTTAAAACCTTCACTAAGTGGTTCCAAAGACCCTCGCCGAATTTTTCCCACACCAAATGTCCCATTCATCCCTGGCCCTGCTCTGCTCAGCGATGCCCGTGGCCCCAAGCCCGCCGGCGTCGGAGGGCGGGGTGCGTCTGGCGCCGGGCATCGCTTGAGATACGAAGCATCGGATGGGCCAGACCGAGAGAGCTCCAGCCACCCCCTCATGCAGTACCCGCTCTTTCACCCCTTCTGCCCACCGCCTCCGTTTTCTCGTTTGGAGAGAAAAGGAGGTAAAATCCGTTTTATGGGGGAATTTAATTACGAGCAGGATGCGCTGTCTTTAGAAACGCGTCCTCCCAAATGTTCCTGCCGTCCCATTACTGGAATGGGGACCATTTTGCTGCAGCAGATAGGACTCTCTCCCATTCTTTACTTTTTATTAGCCAATCAAAGTGGCTTCCGAAAGCTATTTGTGATTTGTGAAAAATAGTATCTTTCAAAATGCTGAGTTGAAGCATCTCCCTCATTTCGCCTTGAATTTATTATTCCAATCTCAACTGTAGAGACGGGATAATGTAGCTATTAAATTAGGGGGCAAATTCGTTTCTTTAGATATATATTTTTTAATTCTCGGCATTTTCTCTCCTCACTTCATTGCAGAAGCCAGGGGAGGTGCGGGCCTGCAGGGGATCTGGAGGCTGAAGGAGGTTGTGAGTGTCCTAAGGGGCTTCTTGGTGGACCCTAAGATGGGAGAGTGGATTGGCCTCCCCAGCCTCATCTTCTCCAAATGCAATACCCCAGTGGCTGGGAGCCCGCTGGAGAACGTTACCCTGCCCCAATTAGGGCGAACTCAGGACAGGTTGTGCCACAGACTAGAAGTAAAATTTCCGGTGAGCTGCCTGCAGCGCTGTCCCATTCTCCCTGCGGCCCATTGTGAAAAGCTGGGCCAGCGCTTCCTTGTCGTAATTTTTAACTACCTGTTATAAAATTTATGAGTGGGTTTGTAAAAGAACCGAGGTCCCCCATCCGGCTGAGGGAACTGCTGCGCTTACTATGGAGGAAGTTTGAGGAGGGGATGAGGGACCCTTGTTGGTTGGGGTGGGGCACCCAGCTGTGGAAGTCACCATGCCAGCTCCCAGCCAAACCTAAGGGAGAGCTTTGGCTCTTCAAATCTCCAGCTAATGGGAAGAGTGGCTGGGCTGTGACTGGTTGGCAAATCGTCTCTTTGGGAGAATTTATTCTGGGCTTCCCCACACTGGACACATCACCAAAATTCCGAGTCTGGAGAAGGGTGGGGGTTAGTTACCTCAGGTGCTCAGAATTTAGCTTGGACGGTGCAATTTAGAGAGGGATAAGGTCTTTTTTTTCATGGCCTCAAAGGTGTGTCCCAGCTGCCTGGACACCAGAATTCTTCTGAAAAAGGCAGGTGTGGGCCACCTGACAAGAAAGAAAAGGCTTCAAACTGCCTTGTACCCAAAGGAAAAAGAAGTGAGAACCAAGATCTTGGGCCTTACTTTTATTTTTAATCCTAAAAAGATTAGGAGTCAGCTTCCATCTGAACCTTGGAATTGAGGAGACCCGACACTAGGGATGGTCTGGGGGGAGGGGATGTAATTTTCTCTGAAAAAGGAACCTGAGAATGAGGGGTGCTTTGGGAGTTCTGTAGGCTGTCCCCAATTCTCACCCCTCCTGCTGCCTCCGCATGACTACCCAGGGCCAGCCTAAACCTTTTCCGCTCTGTAGACCACGGCCAGGTCAGGCTTGGTTATGAGGCTTCCAGCGGCTTGCCCCTCCCGTTCCTGTCTGGGGTGGAGTGGGGGGCTGCCGGCGGAACACCCCATTGGGAAGAATGTTGTTCTTTTCCCAGAGAAATAAAAAAAAAAGGTAGGCGTAAGGAGCGCATCTCTTCTTGGTCCCTTCACCCCGTCAGCCTTCACTGTCCCAATGCCAGAAACCTTTGCAAAGATTCAGTCCCCCAGAACCAACCTTAATACCCCATTTATTAAGAAAATATTTTAAATTCGGCATGGCAAAGGAAGGCAGCCTACTCAGTACCAGAATCCTTCCTTCTCTCCTCTCACGTCCCCTTTTGCCCTTTCTGCGCTAGCCTGGTGCAGCCGGGCCCATGGGGAGTGGGCGGTGGGTGGGGGTGCGGTGGGGGTCGGGGGATGCTCCCTCTCCGAGAGAATTGGGTAAACATGGCGACCGCGGCGCCCATTTGCACACGCTACACAAATGCATCGCATTCCCGGTTGTTTGCAGAAAATTTACAGCTGAGTAATAAAAGTTTACGATCGACTCACAAGTTGGATTGGCCACAAGAAGTCATGTGGATTCCATCCATGAACGTGAACTTTTTATTGTGGTTTGTCCGTTCGGAGCGCTCCGCAGAACAGTCCTCTCTGTAAGAGCCTAACCATTGCCAGGGAAACCTGCGCTGGGCGCTCCCTTCATTACTAGTATTTTTTAAAATTAATCTGATTAATAATTATTTTCTCTCCCCATTTAATTTTTTTTCCTCCCAGGTGGAGTTCCTGGAAGCTGGGGGCACCTGGGAAGGGGGAGGGGAGAGGCAGGAGTTGAGGGCAACTCTCTCTCCCTTCCCAACCCTCTAGCCCCCCAAGGGGCAGGAGGAATGCGGGAGCAGTTGAGATTTGGAGCTGCAGATGCCTCCCCCTTCCCTCTCCCAGATTCTGCCTCCTGCCCCCTTCTTGCAACTCTCTTTAATTTTATTTGGCTTTTTGATTACTGGGACTATTCTTTTTTTATTTTTAAATTTACATAAAGTATATACGTGTGTGTGGAGCTGAGACAGGCTCCGCAGCGGCACAGAATGAGGGAAGACGAGAAAGAGAGAGAGTGGGAGAGAGAGAGGCAGAGAGAGAGAGAGGGAGAGGGAGAGTGACAGCAGCACCCGGTAAGTGTTTCCTTATTGGTTCAAATATGTAACTAATGGTCCGTAGCTGGGTGGCGGTTTCAAGATAAGGACAGCAGCGGCTGGTCTTGGTTAGAGAGGAGAGGGGGATGGAGAAAGGGTGGGCGCGTGGGCAATTATAGGGAGGAAAAGTGGAGGGGGGGAGAAATTGGGTTAAACTAGAATATGGTAGTGGGGAAGTGTGTTGTTCTGATGTTACTGCGCGCCGAAGCTGAGGGTCGAGGGGGCAAGAGGACTGCGCCTGTGGGGATCAGGCCAGAGTCCAATGCACGGACCATGCCTGATGCCCACCTTGTCCTTACCTGTTATACAGATTTGCGGCCTCTTGGCTAATGGAAGCGTGATAGAAGGAGCCCGGAAGCTCCAACTCCAGGGCAGGAGAGAGAACCTGTACATTGCCCCCTGAGCAAAGTCGGCTCCCCAACCCCCAAACAAACTTTCCAGCGCCCCCTTCCCTGCTCCGCAGCCCCCTCCCTCCCTGAGAGCGCGACCGATAGAGCTCACACATGCGCAGTGCAGGCCGGGCCGCGGAGCAGGAAGAGAGCGCGGCTCCGAGGGCGGCGGGGCCTGTTAATTGGCAATTAGTGGGGAGGCTGGTGGCTGGTGCGCGTCAGCCGAGGGGAAAGCATCTGCCCACCCCCTACTCCCGCCCCCACTAGAGCGGGTGGAAAGATGGGAGGTGCCCTGCACTGCGTGGATGGGTGGGGGTGGGGGACGCGGTACTCAAAAGCCATCTTGTGCTCGGAGAAAAGGGGCCAATCTGCCTTCTCTCTCCCGGAGGGGCGTCCCCTACCCCCAAGTGCGGCCACCCCACCCCACCCAGGGTACCCACTGAGCTGCTTCACCCACCTCGGCCTGGCTGCTCTGGGCTAAGACCTGCCCTGCCTGGGGCGGAGGTGGAATTGGGGAAGACCTCCCGCACCAGGCTGGGTGGGGACAGGCCCAGGCCTCGCTGGCGGGGCCTCCTGGGTGAGTGGAGGCAGTGAGTACTCAAGGCGCGGCTGGCTCATGGGGTAGGGATGTCAGAACTGGGCGGCAGGGAGGGTCCTGGGCGCTCGGGATCTTCCTAATAATTGGTGCTAATGGCGTGTTGTATAGTTTTAACCCGACACATATGGTTTCATAACACAGTGGCTTAATTTCTTCCAAATGTATGTGGCCCTGAATGTGTTGCAGTTTGATATATGACCGCGCCCTGCTCCCTGGCTTGGGTCCGAGGCGGCCCCTATATGTGTGAGCTGCTTATAAAGGGCGACGCACACGCAAACGTTTACACACCCAGGCAGACACACCCCAGAGCTGGGGGAGGGGGGCGCATATTCCTGGAGAGGGTCGAGAGTTTGGGAGCTAGAGTCTCCTTCCGTCCGAGCCAGGATCACCGCCCCCACCGCCCCCCGCATCCTCTCCCAGAAGCGCGACAGGGCTTCTCCACCAAGCCCTAGTGGGGGAGGGGATCGCTCCTCGATTTCCTGTACAAACCCTGACCCGTAGCCTGAGGGTGGGGGGAAAGAACCTGTTTTTATTAATTCTTAAAAATATAGTTCGACTGCGTTCAAATCAAGCCGCTTGGGCTCGAGTTGACGGTGAATCTTCACTCCCCTCCCCCCACAATCCCCTTCCCTTTCTCTCTTGCCCCCCCAAAATTCCCCTTTCGCAGCCGACATAAAGGCCTCTGAGGTATTCT